GCTGCTGCGACAGATCCGCCTCCATCGCCTTCCGATAGCGCCGCAGGTCCCCCCATGATCACCGCCCCTTCGCCCTCGCTTTGCGACCTTGCCACATCTCTGCCCTCGACTGTTTACATAAAAAAAGATGAAGGCTCATGATTCAATTGATTCAAGGCTTTGTGCAGGTTTTATGTAGTTTGAAGCAATGGGAGTTATAAGGATCATTGCTGTGAGTTTGCATTATTTAGATTGTGATCATCGTGTTTCTTGGCTTATTATCAGATCTTTGTTTGATTTTTATGTAAACGAATGAAGGAATGGATGTGCATATGAACGAACGAATGAATGGGATCATCATGTGCTCTAATTCTTGTTTGATTTTCTTCTTGGACTGAGATTTTTGTTTAGAGGAGCTTGTTGGTTTGTACGGAACTATTGGGGATATGTTTGAGTGGCTAGTTTGGAAAGGAGCCTGAAATGGATAGAAGATCATGTTTTGCACATTTCCATCAACAAAAATGTTTATAGTGCAGATTCCGTTGGGGGTTCTACATCACGATGAATTAAATATGCACTCTTCCATGTAGCCTATTCGCTTCAGTGCTACATGTATATATCTAATTTCTATAGTTGGAAATCCTATTCGCTTCAGTGCTACGTTCTCCATAAAATTTCAGCCCCAATGTGAAAAAAACGCTTGACATTTTAACTTTAATGGTACAGTCAAAAGTTATTATCAATGTTAAGATAAATTTAAACCTCTGGTCTCTTCCTCCCTTTGTGCTTAAGAAGAAAGAATTTATTTAGATGGAACTTGTGCTCAGATTCCCTTAATGTTTGACATATTAAGGGATTCTTTTGAGTAATCTAGACATATTAGATATTAGAGGTTAAAAACCCATCTATGTTTTTCCCCTTCTCTATCAAGTATGGATTCCTTTTATACTTCCGCTAATATTGTCGTATTATTATGATGGACATCATCATGTTTAGGGGTAATTTACTTTTAATGGTGTTACTTAATTTGTACTTATTGTGTGTTTGGTAGATTGTAACTATAGTTGCAATACAACTATTAGTTACATGCAACAAAGAGGTGTTGCACGCAATTGTAGTTGCAACTGTTTGGCTAGAACTTTAAATTTTACATCTTGTAATTGGAATTATTTGGTACTACTCAACTTTTTCGCATGCAATTTGTTTCTTTTAACAAATTAAAAATAATTATTAGTTAATCTTATATATTTTAAAATATTCTTTTACTTCAAAAAATAAATATTTTTGTATTATATATATTATATATATATACTAATATAATATATATATATATATGATTATATATATTTTATATATACTATATATATTTGTGTGTGTGTGAAAAAGAATTGCTTTCAATAAAAATATATAGTTGTGTTTGAAAAATAATATGTTGAAACATCATAATGATTTTGGAAAATTATAAGTTTTTGGGAGAGAAGTAATAACTTTTTTGATAGAATAATTTTTTTTTGTAAAATAATATTTTTTTAAAACTATGTTTTTTGGGGATAAAAATATTATTATCAAAAAAATAATCTGGCTTTCTAGAAAATAGTAGTTTTTCGCAGATGCATCAAACTTTTCCTTAAAATAATTTAAAGAAATTTATAGAAAATAATTATTTGCAGTGTATGTTGGGAACCGCACAGTTCAGTTCGAGGGACTAAATGTTTTCAATAACCGACCCTTTGGGGTTTTTAATTGCAAAAAACGACCCATTTCACACTTATTTATAAAAACCGACCCCAGGGGCTGAAAACAGGTCGGTTTTTGAAAAATTTTTTCCCAAACTTCACGGGAGTTGAACTCCCGTGAAGTTTTGTTATGAGAAAAACTTCACGGGAGTTCAACTCCCGTGAAGTTTGGGAAAAAAATTTTCAAAAACCGACCTGTTTTCAGCCCCTGGGGTCGGTTTTTGTAAATATTTTCAAAACCGGTCGTTTTTTGCAAATAAAAACCCCAAGGGGTCGGTTTTGAAAATTTGTCCTTCAGTTGAGATTGAATAAATATTTGCAATTGGGTAAACTTAATTCAGTTGCATGCACAACCCCACCAATTGCAACTTAGCAAACGCACCCTTAGTCATAACTTAGGATATGACACCACCTCTCACACATACATCCGACCCTGCTAGCTACACCGCACACAAACACACAAATAAATGTCCCGTCTATTATAGAAGAACATTATGTCAAATTACCATGTACAGCTTCATAATTATAGGAGGCAATGGTGCAATTTATTACAAAAAGGAGATCCGAGTTTAAATATGATAAATGAATTTTCCATGTGTCCCAACGAAATTGGACATAATAATTGAGATTAAGGAGAATCATTTACGCTGCTGTGTTCCTCAAATGCTACTTTTATATGATAAAACTTCAAATTCTTATCTGACAAATGTTCTCTCATATAAAAAGAGAATCAAGTTCCATTTATCTCATATGAACATGAAACCAATATAATCGCATCACCATGCGAAAGTGATTGGAACATTTGTATATGGCCATTAGCAGAGTAAATATTCTACCAGAACAAATTATAACGGGGTGATCTATACCATTTGCTGGTCATTAAAGGGTAAGTTTGAGAATTATATTTATTTTACTAATGATGTAAAGCAACCCACTCACATAGGATAATTCTCATAGAATTCCTATTGTCATTAGGAACCGCGTGGCTCAAATCCCAAACTACTGGTAAATATGTGGTTTGACCTACTTGTACTCAAAGAATAGGGGCCTATACCTAAAATAGCAGGCAGCAAATGGAACCAGATGCTGTGGTAGTATAGAAGTACCTTTCCTTTCCATTTTTAGCAAGGACCCGTACCGAAACTGGCAGACATTTGTATAGTTCACTCGTTTCACTTCCTACTAATAGTTTCGTGAAAACTACTGCTAAAAGACGTGAACGGCAAAACCCCCCTCCGTGTGATTAATCACGATTGATCTCATAAACAATCCAACTCTGAGTAGCTCCTTCAGCAAAAGGAGCTGTCATCTTATATTTTCTTTTTTCCTTTGTCATGCATGCTTTATAATATATCTAATAAAATACAGAAAGAACATGGTAAGGGTTAAAAAGACAGCAAAACAAGGTTCTCTCTCTATCCGGCAAGGGTTAAAAAGACAGCAAAACAAGGTTCTCTCTCTCTCTCTCTCTAGCTAACTACACACCCAATTAACTATCCAACTAAAACCAAAACAAACAAACCTTAGAATGGCAGCTCTCTCTAGCAACAACACACCCAATTTACTATCCAACTAAAACCAAAAGGAACAAACCTTAGAATGGCAGTTCCAGTTGCAATCAAGTCGATGACGCTCCTCTGCTTGCTAGTGGTTACAAGTGAGTATTCAAACACAGACATTAGCGACTTCATTTCCTCTTCCACTGTTTCTCCTCCATATTTATGTCTATCTTCTTAAAACATCAACTCAGGTTCAGAGTGGGTGGACTATCCATCAGCGATGACGTGCTGCAGCAACATTCTAGTGGAGGGCTGCGACCCTGACAGCCCACTGGCGAACAATGCCTGCAGGGATGTCTGTCATTACGGTGGATGCAGGAAAGGAGGTCAGTGTGTGTACCTCAGACGGGGAGTTGGTCGAGCTTGCCACTGCAACTGCTAGTTTTAGTTACTGGAGATAGATGATGACTGATGACGATGATGCTTGAAACAATAAATCTGAGTGTTACTTTTGTTGAACTAGAAGATATTTATTATCATGTGCGTATTTCTTTTTTTATGGGTCTTCAGTACTGTGTGATCTCGTGTATGTCTCCCTCAACAAAACAATTCTCTAGCTTTATGTTGCCTTAAAGCTTCAACTTGTGATGAGGATAGTCCTTTTTTTAATGATGAACAGGTACAGAAATAACTAAACAGCCCTGCTACTATTCCTATATGAGGAAAGCAAAAGCTGCAAAAATAATGACGGGTCTTCAAGCCACACATGATGACGATAGTCCTTAAACATTCGAAATTTTTTGGTGCACAAGTGTTTAGAGCATGCATGACACAATCAAACTCGAGAATGCCACAATCTTTGATCCAATGTTGGTCTCTAGTTTTGGAACTCTCATGTTGACCTCGAGGCATCCAACTTTCTATTATTCCCCACATAATACAAAATAAACCATGAACATTTGAGTGCCAGGTAATTCCACAAGTTAAACCGTACAATCAAAAGACTGATTTGAACAACAAATTTCCATGTTCGAAGGATATTCGCCACTAAAATTTCATGAGAAATGCAAGTAACAAGATTGGCATGCATACCTAAAGAGTTGTCAATGAATACTGAACAAAATGTGCGTACTTCCTATACAAATGGCTGATATAAACTGAAATCAGGCAAACGTCAAAATTTGCAAGAAAAACGATTGTTGGTAAATCAGAAAGACACAAATTAGGCTATAAGATAACTTAAGGAAAAATTCACATTCTACCATTAAGCTTGAAAAAGAGTATAATGGCATATGCAAAGAAGACTAAGGTTCTGGTTATTGAGAGAGAGAGAGAGAGAGAGAGAGAGAGAGAGAGAGAGAGAGAGGAATCTGCCTTGAAACTCTGACAATGTCTAATCACGCGCATCGATCAGTTGTAGAACAAACTTCTATAAGAAAAATCCTACTAATTAGATGTCGTGGAAGTTCAGTGGGCAAAACAACTGACTTGAGGTCAACCAAATGTTATATATCACGCAACTCTTTCTATCAAATTTTATTCTTGACAATGAAGCCAACAAATAAACTCTTTAGAAGATGGTTCTTACAACAGACACCCCTTGATCAAATTGTCAGAACCGTTTCCCATGTCATAAAAGTACAATTTCTTGATGTTTCAATGTTCCCTTTGTGTCAACAAGGGTAGAACAATATGATTAATCTCTCAAAGGTGACTAGAAACAGAAACTTTTGAAGTCCACAACGACTATGACTGCTCACTCGAAAACCATCCGAAGTAATAAGAATGCAGAGGGATGGAATTTCATGCAAATCAACCTTAAACATGATAATTATAAAAATAACAATATATGGAATAAGATACGTCAATCTCGTCCTAGCTAAAAACTTACTTGTCAACAAGTAGCATTCCCATTATTCAAGGGACAGATTATAACTACGAATATCGCGCTGCTGACCAGCAATTCCCTTGGCTAGACGAGCTTGTATAGGAATCATTTCTCCGGGTTTTCCAGAAAAGGAAGCTTCAGAAAGTTTAGGCCTAAACCACCTTCTTAAAGCAAGGCCACTGATTCTTATTTTCCCGTATGATTCATCTCCCGAGTATTGAATTCCCAGCCTCCTCAATAAGGAACCAGCAGCCTGTCCGGTCCTATTTCACAAGAAAGCTCAAGTTTTATATCTAGCTAAAAACAATAGTTTTTTTCAGAAATATTAATGAAAATACTCCAGTCAAGACACTTGACAATAGAAATAGTGAATGGAGGATGTTACTACTTATCAACGAGACCACTGTAGATTGCCCAGCTTTAGTGTAACACACCGATCTTAATTGTAATTTGGTCTCGCACATGGATCAATAATTTCAAGTGAATTAAGGTCTTTCACCTTCAAAAACTAGCACGTCACACCCAAGATTGCACCAAAATCGTATATATATGGAAAAGTTTCATAATGTGGCACCTCAGATTCAACCTAAGAAAGCGCCTCTTGATTCATAAATTAGACTATTTCAATTGATGATCTTCTCCATTCCTTAGTACCAAGTACAAAGTTGGTGACCGGTACTGATGTGGTCACTTTTCATCCACACATTTCAAGTTGTCCACTTGAAACTAGTCCCCACATGATTATCCACTCATTGAATGAGGGGATGAGAATTTGCCACATTACTACCAAACATACTCATATTCCTCATATGTGTGTGTATGTGTGTGTGTATAGGAATGATAGTTATGAGGTGACGCCTCATTTAGCAAAATGAGCCACCACCTCATACCCATTATTTTATATATACTAGTATAATGCACGTGCTTTGCAGGTGAACGTAAATGTTTTAAGTTTTAATTTTTTTGTAAATAGGAAAAGTATGTGTTAATAAATAAAATTGTATAATAAAATTGCTTAAAAAGAAACGCATGAATTAATTATTATTGTGTAGTTATTGTAATTGAAAATTTTTCTTATAATGATTGCCTAATGCTAACATTTTTTTAACTAAGTCCGCCAAATCTACAATTGTTCTTAAATAAGTCTAGCGAATTTATATGTTCTCTTAAATATGTCCCTCTAACTTGAAAGTTGTTAACTTAACTCTAAATTAACTAAGCTGCATTGATCTTACTAGATTTTTCCTGATGATCCTTAGTTACAACTAATACCAGCAATATATTGCGATAGTTACTTCTCATTATAATTATTTAACAGGGTAAATTACACTAAACTCTTATGGACTTTAAGCCCCTATGGAGTTTCAAAATCATACTAAAGCCCTAATAACTTTTATGTTTCATAGAAAACCCCCAATAATTTTCTAAATTTTGCATATAACCATATAAGTTACAACCATAAAATGCCATAAAAAGGTATTTTGAAAGTTATTGGGGGTTTGGCGTAATTTATCTAAAAGATATTGGGGCTTTCTGCAAAAGTAATTAGAGGATTTTGAAAGTTCATAAAGTCTATTTACTGTAAAATGCTGAAAGTTCACAAGGGTTTACTATAATGTAGCTTATTTAATATTATAATTCTTAGTTCAAGTAATTTAAAATAATTAAACTACTTATATACTATAAAATATTTATCAAATTAAATTTTTAATTATGCTCTTAAATAATTTAGTACTATAAATACTTTATAATTTTTATTATACTATCATTAACAAGTAATAGTATTATTATTAATATTGAATAATTTTTTTGTAAAAAGGTTAGTTTTCAATCATTACTAAGTATAGATTATTCAGTGTCATGTAATAATCTTTGAGAAAATATTCTAAAAATAATATTAAATTGTTTATTTACTTTATTTAATAATGTAATACTAAATAAATAGAGTAATTCATAATTTATGTGATATTATTAAAATAATTACAATATTTATGATATTAAATATCTATTCTATTTATTTTATTGCTCATTGAATTATAGTATAATTTTTAATAGTATTTAGTAATTATAATTCTTAATAGTATTTAGTAATATGTTATTTTATGTATACTATTATTTTAATTATTTTATTATAATTCATAACTATAATAATAATAATTTAATTGGTTACTATTAATAATTGTGTATACTTATTTTATAAATTATTATATTATATTATTATTAAACAACTAATAGTTATAATATTATTGATAATTATAATTATTTAGAAAGGTGACGAGTTAATAAGTGATTATATTTATTTAATAAAAAATTAATTAGAGATAATGGCATACTTAGAATTTATCAAAATTTAAGAGGGCAAATGAGGAATTAAAAGTTTTAACACCTCAATCCTCTGTTTATAATATGTGTGTGTGTATGTATGTGTGTGTATATATATATGAGAAAAATGTGTATGTGTGTGTATATATATATGAGAAAAATGTGTATGCTTAGTACCAAACACAAAGTTTTGTGTTTGACAGTGAGGTGACATATTCCTCTCCACTCATTAAAATCGGAGCCCACATTTATATGAGTTGAGTATGGTTGGGAATTAAAATGAGTGGATGGGAATATGACATCTCACAGCTAACAACCCATTTTGCACAATGGGCTGCTAGCTCAATGTTATATGAGCCCTGCTAGTCACATCGGGGTGGGGTTCACATGACAGTGAGCTAGCAGCTCATACCTAATATCCTCACACACACTATTGTATCACAAAAATTGCTAAGTGTAAACTACTCTCAAGAGGATGACACATCTCGATTAGCTGACTCAAACCTGATACATCAACCCGACCTAGGTCTCGTGAGTGTCGGCTCCCCTTAAAGCATATTAAGAACCAAGAGGAAAGACGTCCTCACCCAGGCTCTCTCTTAAAACTCCAAGATGAAAGGCGTCCCCACTCAAGCTCTCTCAAAGGACTGAGATGAAAGACGTCTTCACTCTGACCCGGCGACGCATCTTGAACCACGAAGAAACTTATCTGCTTCATTTTCCTAGGTAATGTCAGCTAGTAACCGTCACAGTAAATGCATGGCCAAAGCCATCATTACTCCTCAACCGAAGTCTTAACTCCTCAAATCACTAGCACCTTAAACATTCTGTCGTCGTCGCATTAAACGCAAGGATGACTCGAATCACCCACTGCCAACAAATGTAAAGTTTCGACTGACTAAGCCGACTGCATGAACTCGGTCGAGGTTACCCAAATACCCTTTTCGGTTCACTATAAATAGGTAGATTGCCTACTACATGACATTACCTATTCTCTACTACAAAAAGCCCTAAAAAACTACTTCTTTCACATACTTTTTCCCAAAATTATCACCAACTTGATCGTCAAAGTAACCACCAGAGAACCCAACTCTGACCCTCTGACATTTCATATGCGTGCAGGAATCTTCTTCTACTCAAAGTGATCAGTCATCAAAACTCATTGAGGGACCTTGGTCTCTTCCAAATCCACACTAACCCGCACAATTAAGTTTCTGACATTAACACATACATATATATATGTGTGTGCGCGTACGTGTGTACTCCTAAAACATCTATATAACTTAAAAATTAGACTTTTATAGACTCACAAACTTGGTCACAAAGAAACTATTCTTAATAAGGAATAATAATCATGATAACATAAAAGCTTTCCTAATAATAAGAATCTAAAACGCTTCTTATGTGCATTAAATTCCTAAACAACAATTTTCCTTTTATAGATGATCTACAAGAAAATTTCTATTAACACTAAAATTCCAAGATTAATCCAAAAAAAGATTAGCCTTTATTGATCAGACATGCTAAAATGATCAATAACTAAAAGATACCAATAGTTTCGTAACTAATCAAGAATCTTACCTGAATGAAGACCCTGTCTAGAACTTAATTCATCAGGCTCTCAAGAAACCTCAATTTATCACTACAATATCTTTAGTGCATGATGCTACAATAAATTCTATGGAACTCAAACCTTAGACTATACAGTATGAGTATCTGCTAATGACTTGGTTGGCAAAGAACTAACGTGGACAATGCATATTCAGCCATGAAAAAACTACTGCTAAGATTTGGAGAAAAGAGTTTTTTTGAGAGAGTTCTCCTCACTCTATACTTTATTATTTATAGAGATGAATTAGTTACAAGTTAGTCTCACAGACAATATGGAACTAAACCAATACTGAACTAATACTTTCTTCTAACACTCCCCCTTGGAGCATATATATCATGTATGTCCAGCTTATCACAAATAAAGTTAACCCTTGTTTGACCAAATGGTTTTGTAAGAATGTTTACCAACTAATGTACTGTCGATACATGTTTTGTCGTGATGGTTTGTCCTCGAGCTTCTTGCGAATTACATGACAGTCGACTTCAATGTGCTTGGTTCTCTCATGAAACACGAGATTCTCAGCAACGTAAATTACTGCTTTATTATCGCCATATAGATCCATGGGACCTTCTGGAGGGAGACCAATCTCTGTCAATAGGTCTCTGATCCAAACCATCTCTAGTGTCACATTTATCATAGTTTTGTATTCTGATTCTGCACTGGACCGAGACACAACACTTTGCTTCTTACTTTTCCATGACACCAGATTTCCTCCAAGAAAGACACAATATCCAATAATCGATGTCCTATCAAAAGGACATCCAGCCCAATTTGCATCAGAGAAGCCTACAACTCTGATGTGTCCTTGATATGAGTAGAGAATTTCTTATCCTGGAACCTTCTTCAGGTACCTCAAAATTCTCATTACTACATCCAAGTGAGTAGTTCTTGGTACGGACAAGAACTGACTCACAACACTGACTGTGAATGTGATGTCAGGTCTAATCACCGTCAGATAATTCAGTTTCCTCACCAATCTTCTATACTGCCCAACGTCTTCGAGAAGCTCCTACTGATTTGGTAGTAGTTATGAGTTCATATCCATTGAAGAATCACTACTTCTACATCCTAACATCCTAGCTTCTGAGAGCATATCCAGGACATACTTTCTTTGTGACAGAAGAATATCCTTCTGTGACTTTGCAACTTCAATGCCTATGAAGTATTTTAGGAAACCAAGATATTTGATTTGAAAATGTGCCTGTAAATACTTCTTCAGACTGTCAATACCAGAAACATCATCCCCTGTAATTATAATGTCATCCACAGAGACAACGAGTAGAATTCGTTTCCCATTCTAAAATCGCTAGAAGACAGTGATCTTTCTGTGCACGACAAAGCCCAAATTCCTGAATAACCAATGCAAAACATCCAAACCAGTCTCTCGGAGACTGCTTCAGACCATAGAGTGATTTCTTCAGCCCACATACCTTCGCATTCTCCCCCTGAGCGATAAAACTTGGTGGTTGCTCCATGTAAACCTCCTCATCTAGAATACCATTAAGGAATATACTCTTGATGTACAACAGATGAAGTGGGCAGTAATTTGTCGCTGCTAACGAAATAAAAATCAGGACATATGTCATTTTTACCGTTAAAGAAGGTATTTACGTAATCCAAGCCATACACCTGTGAATAGCCTTTAGCAACCAGTCGGGCTTTTAGGCGAGCTAAAGTTCCATCAGGATTTAACTTAACAATGTACACCCACTTACAGCTGACGGCCCGCTTTCCTGGTGGGAGTGGGCCTAAATCCGAAGTCTCATTCTGCCGCAAGTCCTTCATTTCGTTCTGCATCGCTTGGTTCCAACCTGGAATAGACAAGACTTCTAACACACTCTTAGGAACCAAATATGAGTCGAGGGAATTAACAAAAGATCGAAAAATAAAGGAGAGACGATCATAGGAGACAGTCAGAAATAGGATGTTGAGTACAAATGAGTGTCCCTTTTCGAAAAGCAATAGGAAGGTCTTCCGCAGAAGGAGGTAAATGTGCACTTACGGATTCAGTTTCTTCGAGCGGAGGAGGTGGTGTTGAGGCTGACGTTGGCACAGGAGCAGGAGCAGAGCGACGATGATAAACTTGAATTGGATCGTTAAACCGAACCGAGTCTTTGCCAGTAGTGCAAAGCGTATTGTCAGCAGATGAACCACCACCAGTAACCAATGACTCTTACAGGATCAAATAGTCATACTCATCCGGTAATAATGGAGATGGAGAACTAGAATGACCGGGTTTATCTTCGAAGAAGGTTACATCAACAGATAACACAAGACGATTGAGTGATAGACAGAAATACTTGTAACATTTATACTTTTAGGTATAGTCAAGAAAAATATCTTTAATAGACCGAGAGTCAACTTTTATTTATTTGGACTGTGATTATGAACAAAGCACAGAGAGCCAAAAATATTTGGAGGAAGCGAAAAGAGATCATCATTGGGGTATAGAATCTTGAGAGGAATTTTATCTTGCAGAACAAAAGAAGACAATTTGATTAATCAAGTAACATGCTATTAAGATAGTTTCCCCCTAAAATTCTTTAAGAACGTGACGATGGAATAGCAAGGTCCGAGCAATATCAAGGAGATGTCTATTCTTTCGTTCAGCAACTCCATTTTGCTGAGGAGTGTAAACACAAGAAAACTGATACAGGATCCTATGTTGTTCAAGGAAACTAGTGAAGTTGTCATCCAAATATTCCTTTGCATTATAAGATGGAAATATTTTTATCGATTGACTATTTCAGAATAAAAGAGTTCAAATGTGGAAAAGACTTCAGACCTAGACTTGAGAAGATAAATCCAGGTAAAACGAGAGTGATCATCTACAAACTGATAAAGTATCAGAACCCTAATTTAGAAGTTATTGGGCATGGCCTCCAGACATTAGAATGAACAAGATCAAATGGCTTAGCAGACGTCTTATTGACTCGATTAGGATAAGACACATGATGGTGTTTGCCAAGTTGACACGACTCACACTCTAATGAGGAAAAAGATTTGAACTTGAGATTAAGCCAAGCCATTTGAATTAGATGTAGGGTTGAAAGATGACAAGATACCTTGATTCCCAATTATATGATCAGTGACACATGTATCTATAATCCAAGTATTAGACGAGAACGATGCAAGTAAAGATAAAGGGGTACCTGCACTTTTGAGAGTAGCGAATAAGGAGGAAGACGATGTTTGTGAATTCTGGTACTGTTGGAACAATTTTAGAAATTGACGCTGCAGTTCCGCATCATGAAAGACTAACTATAGTTGACTTTCACTATCAGATGAGGTAAAATTGTCATGAGCAGTCATGTAAGCACCATTGGCCTTCTTCTTTTTCAATTCAGGACAATTATATTTGAGATGTCCTGATTTGTGACAGTAGTTAACAAGTCTTCACTGAGTCATCGTCGAGTATGTCCGCCTTAAGATGGACCTCCATGATCACCTCGTTGACCACCTTGGCCCCCAGAACAACCAGTGTGATAGCCTCCTCGCCCTTCAAAGTTTCCTCTCTTCCAGAACACCAGTATGATCCCCTCATCCATAAGACTACTAATTCTGAGTGGCAAGCGCAGAGCAATCCGCAGTGAATGTAAGTGACTGTGCAGGGACAACGTTTTTCAGAAAGTGATAAGTCTCAGTGAGAAATAATGGTGAAACTCCCCATGATTTGTGGTCGAGTAGAGGCGTAAACAGACTCTAGGGTACCTAAGTAGGTGAGTACCATAAGTTTGTTCCATTGGTTCTGTATTTGTTTTATATCCACAGTAATAGGAAAAATCTGACGAAGTTCCTCAGCCAGACGATTGAACTCACCATATTGATCATCCATGGGTTTACCATCCTGTTTCTTACAAAACAACTCTTGAATTACTTCATATGCCCGATTAATATTATTGCTATCCCCATAGAGGTCTTGCAAAAAAAACACCAAATTTCTTTCGCTGTCATACAATGAAGAACTAAATGCTGAATTTTAGGCTCCATAGTATTAAGAATTTGATGCAAGAGGACACTATCATCCAATGTCCAAGATTCCGGTGTCGGAGTAGGAAGGTCTGTCAACAAATGACCAGTTTTACCTCGGCCAGACATGTAGATTTTAATAACACGCTTCCATTGAAAATAATTAATTTCATCAAGCTTCCAGCTAGTGATTCGACCAGAAAATATTTTCGAAACTTTCGTCTGGACCGTTAAACTCAAAATTCTTGAATTCCTCAGATCCGACCATCATTAAGAGTTCAAGACGATACTCTCCACAAATTATACTCCAAACTGAAAATAATCAAAGCATGTCCAAGTTCTAGATAATAATTCTTAAATTAGCCACTAGGCTAAACAAGTCCAAGAACCCGAAGGTTTAATTTTAAACCCAAAGGTTAGAGTGTAAGAACCCGAAGGTTAATATGGAACCCGAAGGTTAAATATCAAGAACCCGAAGATTAACATGAAACCCGAAGGTTAAAGATCAAGAACCCGAAGGTTAAGATGGAACCTGTAGGTTTTTTAATTACTTTTTTAATTAATTTTTTTAATTTTATTTACAGTACAATTCTTAGATTTGATTCAGATCCGAAAACAAAAAAGGAAGGGGGACAGAGGAGCATGGCGACGACGAGTGAAGGCCCCATGGTGGCGATGGCGGTCGCGGTCTCTGGAACGAAGCTAGTGCGAGCGAGCTGGCGGCAGGCGAGCTGGCGCGAAGGCTCGGAATTGGACGACGCAGCGGCGCGAAAGATCGCAAACGTAGCAACGGCGACGGATGAAGCAACAACAAATTGAAGCAGTGGCAGAGATGAGCAGCATCGGATTTGACGAGCGACGGCGGCTGACGCCGGATCTAGACGAAGACGGCGAGAATTAGGGTTAGGGTTAGGCTTAGAAAGTTGGATTAGTATTAGGATCAGAGTTAGGGATAGGCTCTGATACCTGAAATTGTGAAATGTAAGGTCGGCTTCTATAGGTCCTTACCGGGTTCAATTGTACTCGTACAACAGCATGAGGTCTTATGGTGATTATATAATAGTTGCAATTTTCCTCTACTACCCTAAAAAAGTTAAGCCACATATAACTCAACAAAAACTGATTATATCTGTACCCAGTGATTGGGGAACCCGCACTTGGATTGCATTAAGGAATAGTAGAAGCTATTGTGAACAAATTCATGGAGCCACTTCATACAATCATATACAAATTGATGTTTAGAAGTTTCACAAGTGGAATCTTCAATGCCTTCATGGATCTATGCAACAAAAAATTAGAGCCACCAGACTTTGGCCAATAATATAACGTCCATTCTCAAAATTCCAGAAATAAAAAATAACTTGAAAACACATCATAGGTTTGAAATACAACATCATTAAAGAATGATTAAGAGAACCTACTAGCCGTGCATGCATCATGCACATACACATATATGCTCATCTTTCCTAATAAAAAAATAAATGCTTTGCATTCAAAAATGTATGGAGTTTGAATCATCTTTAGCTGCTTATTGATATTAAAAACTAGATCGAAGTTAAGTATGAAAAATATATATAGACAAGAACGTCTCGAGTTAGTTTACCATGATTACATTCTATGCTGCATAAATGGACACACCAAGTACAGAAGGCACCAACTTGCAACAAATTCAACCGACTATACCATACGCATGTTTGACATGCAAATGGCACGATACAACTTCACAATTGGTTTGTCCAATCTAACATAGTTTACATCTCAATGCATATAGCCGAACTTGCACACCTAAAATTAGTCTAGAGATCAAGAAGCACATTACCACGAAAAAATCATGTGATACTTTAGTGGATGGCTTTTCAATGCCAGAGGGTATTCTTGTGTCAGTCCATTAGCCATTCTAAGTTGCCAAAAGCTCCGGATGGAGCCCACGATATTTTGAAATTGTATAAACTCAAATAAAAAACAAAAGAAACTCTGCTATGTATTAATATCACCTAAAGAAATACCATGAATGAGGTTATCTTGCACCAGCATCAAACTGATAAATTCAGACCACTCATTAATAGCATACATATGACTGCATATATGAGATCTATATGACCTGTACCTTTATGCTGTCAAGATGTGGTTTAAACAACAGGAAAGAAGTTGTGAAGGATTAACGATTTTAATTTCATAAGTAGATAAACAAGGAAATGTGTTTCACCTTCCAGCAACATTAACTGTTCTTCTTTCTCCATTGGAAGGCTTAATCTGTGTCTTCTCTGTAAGGAGTAATATGGTTATGCTGGGTAACCTTGCACCTGCACATGACCAGAGGGCTCTTATTAAGAACAAAATGTTGGTCATAAAGTGACTTTTTTTGAGGAAAAACTGAACTCTGGATTGAGGGACTCAATGAACAGCTTCTTAGGCATATGTGACCTCCCCAAGTTAGCTAGCCTAAGCTTAGAAACCTCCTACCGTTTTTAAACCCTCAACACCCCTTTGCATCACTTATTTGCAACAAAATAATAACAATATTACTTTCTCTTCCCCACCACCAACCTCCAAATCCACATACAACATCTCCGCCACCCCCAAACCTCCCACCCAAAAAAAACACCAAGAAGAAGAAATGGCCCCTGCCTCCCTTTCGGCCCCCATCCACTGCTTGCCTCCCACTTTGCTGCCCCTCCATTCACGCAGCGAAGTGGGGAGACGGCAAGAGGAGATTTTTTAACTAAATATGTTGAGGGGCGGAAGAGAAGAGACAGAAGAAGAAGATGAGAGATAAGGGTAGATCCGGTACTCAACAATGTAAGGTGCGGAACCAGTATCTTTTAGAATATAACGGGGCTTGGACCTTTAACTAGTCACCTTGGGTCAATACATAGTTAAAAAATGTTCAGGGGGTTGAAAGCATTTTTCCTAACGATAACATACAATCTAAAGCATAGATGGAACAAGGAAAGAGCCTAGTGCTTACGGGCAACATCCAGTTCATCTTCCTCTGTTTGAAAAATGAAAAGAGTTATATCCTCGGTCTTTCCCTTCCAAACAACCCTTACACTTTTCATTTTTCGCAGGCTTCTGCGTTATAACCTGATCCATGTTACACTTGGCCAAATGATTAAATCACACTAAGTTCCTCAAGATCACAACATTTAGGGTGTATATCACACTTAGACTATTACAGCAATATTTATCGATGCAAAATGGTGATGAAGATGTCAGATTTTGGAACACGTGTTACTTAGTACTTACCAGCAGCCAACCGATGCTTCAAAAATTTCAGAATCGTTAAGAGATGGACCTGCCAAATTAGAACACAAACTCAAATCTTTAATAAACTATTTAATTATTTTATTATCTACCAGTTCAAATGCACTGGAAGTTGCATACAAGGTCTCTCAAAAGTTAAAACCAAAGAAAGTTCGGAACTTGCATTTAGTCTTATGTTTGAAGTGGCCAACTGGATCAAATATTAATTGACAGTCTAGTTCCAAAACACTTAATACACAAGGGCATTTATCCGACAGATTGACCTATACTAACGGGCCTAATACACAATGCATTTATATTAAGCAGATTGACCTATAGTAAAGCATTTGTTTCATCTTTATTATTCCTTTTTCCACTTTCTTTCCTTCCTTTTCCTAATGATAGGAAGCTTGGTGAGTAACAGAGCCTTCAAGGAAATGTGTAACTATTACAAACACTATGCGCCTTCTACTGTATGCCTCTCACCCTTGCAACAGATGCTTAGGATATTAAACATTTTGCCTCAGAGATGGAACTAACTTTCTAAAATATCTTTCATTTCTACTATCTTCTAGATTGTTTCCAAAATTAGAGTTTATAAAAGTTTGCTCCTTGATCAAATTAGCCTTAACTTCAAGAGTAATCAAGGTTCAAAACCAACCACTACCAGTTTAATGAGAACACATGTCCTGACTGCAGTTTCTTGCGCTAGGAAAATTGTGTGAACCAACTCAGAGAGTGGATGTAAAGCTTGACAGATGTCATAATATATTATCACAACTAGAGATGTTTTTCTGAACAGTTAAACTCAAAGTGGGGAAGGCTGGAGATGACAATGACATCTAAGTATATCCATAACGATCACATTGGGCATACATTTGATTTAAGTGATTGTCAATTCAAAGAAAACTGAAAACAGGAATTAAATAGTCCTCATACCTTATTACAACACAATAGAAATATCCGTCAATATGAAAAAGATAGCAATCTAAAATGCAATATCAGATTACCCAAGCAGCACAGATTATGATAAGTGTTTCATCATTCATAGGATAGAAACTATCACTGGAACAAGTGATACCCGACTTGGGTTGTGTGCCAGTGATACACTTGGGGTATATAAAACTCGATGTTATATGACTTGATCACATCTAACATTTTTGAGGGAAGAATCATTGCGGAAACTCTCTAGTTGAAAAATGCTCAAGTGGTGAAGGATGATATTCATGCCTCTAAAAGAAAATCTAAAACCTCAAAACATCTTAGAAGTTGTACTCAAATATGGCAACATCCATGAATTCTGAACGCAGAAATTGGAGGAGGTTAACTCTGGAGACTATATTAGCAGAAGGCTTGTTTCTTATCTTTGAACCATGTCCAGGCTTGTGCGTGACAGAACAGGAATGAATCAGTTATTTGATTGGAAAAGTCGTAGGGTAATCATCTCTGATCCTTATCGTTTTGGGTCTGAAAATCAAATATACTGTTGTGAAGTAGCTCGTATTTCAGCCCCAAGACCATGGAGAGTCTGACAGCAGAGGCTCATGCAAAGCACGAGCAGTACACTGGTCGATCAGATCAAGTCGGGCTTCTTTTGCTTGTTTTGGAATTCTATTCGGGTTAGGAGTCTTATATGGTATTGTATCCAATTTGGACACTATAAATACCTAGGGTTAAAAAGATAGAAGCCAACGAGAGTTGCATATTGTAAACGAGAGTTGTAGACAAACTAAGGAGAAATCTAGAGAAATCTAGAGTTATGAGATCTTTTTAGTGAGATTGAGGGAGGGTTTCTTGCGGGTTCTTCAAGAATGCAAGAAATATTGTATCTGGTATAATATCTAGTAAAAGTAGACTCAACTCTCTGCCAAAGACGTAGGCAACTGCTAAACCACATAAATCTCGTGTATTTGCTCTTGTTCTCTTTTCTATTATGGTTTGCTTGTTTCTCTTTAGTTCGAAGACAAGTTTCCCAGTGTTGCTACATTGTCAGGTGATTGATTGAGCTATGAAGGAGATCTAATTGGGTGTTTCGGCAACTCTTCCGCATGTGGCTCTTTCGTATAGTATGCCAATTGGTGGCCAACAATTGGTATCAGGTTGCAGTAGGTGCATTAACAATTGTTATTAAAGCCAAATCACGTAGATCATCTTCATCTTTGAAAAAAGGTTTGATCTTGCAACATGGCAATAGAAACTTCTTCAGTGATGAAGATCGAGATTGAAAAGTTCGATGGTAAGAGGGATTTTGGGCTTTGGTAGAAAAGGATGGAGGCACTGCTAATTTAACAGGACATAGACCAAGGTTTGCTAGGGTAGACAAGACACCGGAGAAGATGACAAGTGGCGCATGGATGAAGCTGGATCAGAAGACGCAGAGTACGATTCTACTCTTTTTATTGTATGAAGTGTCGTACAATGTGATTGAGGAGAAGACCACATTTGAGATGTGGAAGAATTTTGAGGAGATGTACATAATTAAATGTCTATCCACTAACTTATGCTGGAAGCAGCAAGCGCATAGATTGCATATGAAGGAAGGTACAATGGTGTTGAAGCATCTCAACACCTTCAACAGAATGGTGATTGAATTAGCAACAACATGATCAAAGTTTAAAGATGAGGACAAGGCAATGATTCTAGTGGACACTCTTCCTGGGAGCTATAAACATCTGAAGACATCATCGACAATAGGCAGAAAGACAATCACCATGAAAAACATCAAAGCGGCGCTTCTCATACAGGACTTTCAACGACGACATAGTGGTGGTGATGAGTCTAGTGCTGGGTTAGTGGTAGATATGAGTGGAAGATCTTCAAACGAGCCAAGTTCACGGGCTAAAAGCTATTATCTTTACCAAGGAAATGATCATGTAAAAAAATTTGCTTCAAACAACAAAAGTAGTTAAGGGCCAGAAGATGGAGGATTCAACAGTGGTCTAAACTTCGTAGACAGCGGGAATTAAGGAAAGTTAACTGGATAACACGTTTGCTATTCCAATTGATGAAAGTCAACGGGTCGATGTTTTCATGGTTTTTGAGAACAACACTCTTGTGCTGGTTGGGTATTAGATTATGTATTACAAATATGCTCCCAAATGAATCTATTTGACTCCGGTATGCAAGACGTCAAGAAAACTGTCTATATGGCGGATGACATGAGGTGCAACGTTGCAAATGAAGGAGCATTCACAGAGGCAGGAAGAAGGGGAAGTGTGATTACATTGGACAATATTCGGTTAGTCCCGAAGGCAGGGCATAATCTGATATCATTAGAGGTGCTTGACTCAAAGGGTTATCGAACCTAAGTGCACAAGTGAGCCATCACCATATACCACGATAGGAATCCCACCCTAGTAGGGAAAAATGTGGAGATTGCTTATACTGAGTATCTAAAGGAATCGGTGTTAAAAGGTGGAACATTGTCTTCAAGATGGTGTAAAACCATAAGGAAAAAAAATGCGCTTCAATTTGGATTCCAAGGGAGAACCGTAACAGGAGTTCCGACTCTAGGTGAAAGTTCTGACTCTAGGTGGAATCAAGTAACCAGCTACAAGTCAAGAACCGAGCTTAGACTATGCAACAATGAGGGTTGGTATCAAGACATCAAATGGCGAGCGATGATCACTTTGGTTAGCCCTTAGGGAGAAGGGGGGAGGGGCTTAAAAGTGACTTCTCATAGGTGTTTGTTCTACATAGCATTTACAATTTTATAGAGAGGTTATAAGGAAGAATCGACATTTTCGAATATTGCCTCATACAAGCCTAATGTAGAGATTGTCAGAAATAGCCCTGTACTCAGCCCAGGAGACATCAGAAGAGACAGAAATGAACCATGAGGCAAAATAGAGCACGAGCAGTGCTCTGACAGTCCGACCGCTCACGTGTCACTGGCAATACACCAACAGGTCGAACTGGTTAGTCTGATCGAGTTGATCTCTTTTTCTTTTTTTTTAGAATTCTATTTCAGGTAAGAGCCCTATATGGTAATGTATCTAGTTTGGACCCTATAAATTCAAATTTTCTAGATCTAGGGTTAAAGAGATAGAAGTTAAGAAGAGTTGCATATTGTAGAAGAGTTTGAGAAAAAACCAAGTGGAGAAATTTAGCGTTTGTGCGATCTTTCTGATGAGATTGAGATTGATTTCTTGCGGGTTCTTCAAGAACGTAAGAAACATTGTATCCAGTATAATCTCTAATAAAAAAAGACTCACTCTCTCCATGTAGATGTAGGTGATTTCCGATTCGTGCCTTTGCTCTTGTTCTCTTTTATGTGGTGGTTTGTTTGCTTCACCTTAGTTTGAACACAGGTTTCTCAATGTTTCCACATTGTTGGGTGATCGATTGCTCTATGAATAAGGAGGAGACCTAATTAGGCGTTTCGACAGCGCTTCTTTAGGCGACTCTTCCACATAGGATGCCCGATTGGTGGCCGACAATTTATGAGGGTTGCGATAGATGTATCAACATATACCTCTGGTCTCTTGTTGTACATCCACTAGAAGTCAGAACCTAGTAGGGAAACGAGTAACAAGATAGAGGGACCTCTTGATTATAAAACACCAGAGAAACTTTCAACTATGTAGCCTTCAAAGAGAAATCCCATCAAATCCCTAGATGGAAACCCCTAACCAAAATTGTAATGTGTTGTAGTACTTACTACAAGCAATAGTAAAGGATAACAACATTCAATCATGTCATTTACTGAGAAGTGAGAACCTCTATTACTTTCAAAATTCATGAAAATAAAGATTCCAACCGTAAACAAGCATGCATGATCATGTATAAATAACTGAAGTTTGTTGTGCTATTTATTCCTGCATTACAAAAAGTAATTTCCTAATTGTGAAAGTAGAAATACCAATCAGACTTGTTTTTTTAATGAAAGTAGAAATATCAATCAGACTTGTTTTTTTTAAGTGTCAGAAGTGTCAGTGCTTAAAGGACCTTTACCTCAACAGTATGGATAAGTAATTTTCTCGCATCAACAACTATTGGGTTGTCCTTGAAAGAAACACGTGGAATCACTCCCAGTGAGGCAGCTTCCTAATGTGACAAATTGTAGATTGTTTAAATGATCAATAAATTTCATTAGGATTGTTGACCACTATATAGTTCTTCAATTCTCACCTCAAGCACAGAAAAAGAGCGAGTATCATATTCACCGAAACCATCCAGCAACGAACAAATGTTTGAGCATCTTGAAGCATAAATGTGGAAGCCTAAATTTTCTATAAATTGGCTTCTTAATGAAGAATCCCGAGGAAACTGCAAGCATCCTAAAACTTGAGAAAATACTTCAATTGTAGGTATTACGCCGGCTGAAATAGTTTCACGGTAAACCATAATTGCCCATGATGTCCTGTCAATTAAACAAATACTTAGAAGAATATTGCATGCAGTTAGAACCACCTTTAGCTATAACTACAGAATATTGTCTCAGTGATGACTACCTTAAGAATTATAAGCATGCCAATGGAAATAACTGTTCTGTTTATGAGAGAGCAGTCCCTTCTACCTAGATTAATATTTGAGAGATTACACTATAAGTAATTTCACTTAGAAGATAACCTAGATGCAAATTTCGAAGTGAAATCTGAAGTTTTTACAAGGAAACTGCTTTCATGTTTCACCGGGGTTTGGGTAAGAGCAATTGTCAAGTTGCAGACAAGAAAAATCACCAAAACTGGAACTATGCACTATACTTCAACACGAGAGAAAGCTCTCACATGAGATAGAACTCTCCCACGAAGCCACTTGAATGAAAAGAAAATAATTTGCAAAGACACTCACGCATGCACCCACACACAGATGATTTTAAGTCTACACCTAACACCTAAAAGCCATGGAAAATCAACCAGTCAAGTCAGATCTAAGCCATAGCTATCAAATGGAAGTTAACAGACAGTGAAGGCAAAGATCAACCACCTTAATTGAAATCTGAGAGTTAGATTACACATTTAAGACATCTGATGCAGAAGGAACGAATATTTATGGCAAGGTTCATACCAGGAGCCTATTCTTCAAATATGTGGACTCATGTCTATATAAACCTTGCTTAGATAATCTGTTAGATAAAAGGCTAAACCTAGCATTATGTCAACCTTCAGCATTTTACATGGCCCAAGTGTTGACATCCACCTTGTTATCCACAACAGAAAGAGACCTTCATACCGATGCTCAGAGAAAGAACTACTGTTCCTAGCAAGCTTACTCCTTGAAGCATTTATTGGAGAATTAACAATGTTGCATAATCTTCCAAAATGACCATTTTGATAGTTACTAAACTATAAAAATCAGCAGTCATCATTTAACTAGCCATGTTTGGATGAAATATCCACACTGCAGAAAATTCAGAGGTTCTAATATCACGCTACATTCGGAATTTAAGAACCAATCAAGTCCTATTCCAAAATAGAGTCAAACGAATTTGAAGGCATTAGAGAGACTCATTGATTGGTTACATTGCTGATGTTCTTAGAAAGCCTAATCCTTGAAGCATTTATCGGAGAGTTAATATTGTTGTATAATCTTCCAAAATGACCATTTTGATTACTATTAAACTAAAAAAGTCAGCAGTCACCATATAACTAGCCATGTCTGGATTAAATGTCCACAATGCAGTAAATGCAGAGGTTTTAATATCACACTATTCTCGGAATTTAAGAACCAGTTGAGTCCTATTCCAAAAATAGAGTTGGTAAAGCAAAACGAAGATGAAGGCGTTAGAGAGACTCGTTGAAATGGTTGCATCGCTGATGTTCACAGGCACAAATGTGACGACATTCCCCAACTCTGAGTATGCATTGCTTCTATGCATAGGACGGTTGAATGACTCTGATGCTAAACACATTGAAATAACCTAGGCAGCGGAAAAGAAGATTGCTAGTTACAGAAGGAAAAGCTGCAGATACTTCTCTACATTTGAACTGAACTGAACAACTTGTGAACAGACAGTAAAGACTATACTGAGAAATCTATTCGAGACTGGTTGCTAATTATACGTCAGTCATGAAGCCCCTAGTTTAATCTAATAAATGGTACAATGAAAGATTTTGCATGATAGGTTCAGTGTGCTACATGTAGCTTTACTTTTTCAGTACCAGCTGTTTCATTAGGAGCAAGGCCTATGGGGCCCAATACTCCCATCACTCCCAATACCCCTTATCAAGAAAAGAAAAGGTTTGAAACAGCCTCCAAGTCTTTTAATAAGCCTGAGGCGCACATAGTAAACCATCAGACTTTGAGGGCTTGAAGCCATTGACAAGAGCTCCAATCATAGATCTGACATTTAACTAGTAACAATGGTTTTTCAATCATAAATGTAATCCTTGAGAGTAAATCTGAATACAAACCTTTGGATCTTAGAAGTGTGCCATTATGTAAAGATTTACATAAAAAATTAATATCCTAAAGCACCTGACTGCCCGCTACACCACCAAAAAATGTAATTTCTTTCAGAAACAAATATTGGCAAATTACTCCAATTAGAGAACTTGATACCATTTACTATCTATCTGTGGTTTCCCCGAGTTGAAAGTGACAATAGGCTCGCCAAGAGAATGAGCCTTCTCCAAACTCTTTAAGCATAAACCTAGAAAGAGTAGAGACTAGTCATCATGGTCTATAATTAATATGTATAAGAGAAAAAATCATCAAAAGGAAAAAGATAATCAAACAAGAGTTCTACCCACAATAAATATGATTCAAATAAACAAGAAAAAAATAAATAAAGAAAAGAAAGAACAAGTTGATAGATCAGGTTGATTTAATGAGAAATGCTTTTAGAGAAAAATGCCTACGACTTTGGCAAAGTTGATCAAACGTGCTCCTGATCTTACCTGTCAAGCACCGACACATGATCTGGTTAGGGGGGATACCGTCCTCTTTGGCTTTTGAGAAGATTGTAAAGCCCAATTCAGCTTCATCTTTCCTATAACTCTAGAAAATTAAAATCAGATGGTCATACTCAAGTAAATAGTACCAAGTCTGATATATTACTTTTCACATGCTACTATAAGAATGGAATATGTGATAGTATTTGGTTGCACTCCTGCTTGCTTCAATTCATCAAGGACTTCAACAGATTTTAGTAACTGATCACCATCACCTGCATACAAATTGTAAGCTGATGAAGAATTTCATATAGCCCAGTAAATTAACATGATTTGAAAAAAATTACATAAGCGACGAGATGCAATGCCCAAGGGTACAGTATAGTTTAAAAGTCCTTAGATCCAATGTTAACCAATTTCTCAAGAAGGAAACTTCAGACGGCAGTCTTTGCAAACGCATGCACGGATGTGAGGGAAAAACTTGAAATAATATAGGAGTACACCAACCCTTTTTTTCCTATTGGTAAAGACTTGAGTCAGATGAAAAAAATGTTCACACAAACAAGTTCAGAATCCATGATTCTGGAGACATAGTTTGTGCTGCAGCTGCAAATTCCTGGACTTCGACTATTACACAAAATTTGTTCACCAAGTAAGAAGATGAAATCCTTTGCAACCTTTGCCAAATTCATGTTTAATTAGGTTAAAGTACTGTTCCTTAATTTGCACCAACACCATAGAACTTGTCATACTTGAGAATGAAGCTCAACCACCTGATCTGTCTAGCTATACAAGAACTAGATCTTAATCTTTGATCTGGCCCAAACCCAAGCTCCCAACCACTGTCCCGACTTAAATGAAAAGAATTCTGATCATATTTATAATAAAAATATATTCTCTCAACAATTATGCTAAAGAGAGAAAAGATAATGATGTATTGTTTAGTACGCGGGAACTGAGTGAAGTGAGTATGGAATGAAACAATGAATGGAATAGAATGGAATAAGTTTGCGAATGGGATGTTCATTCCTATTCTCACGTTTGGGTGCAATTAGAGGCTAAAGTGGGAATAGGCATATCTGGAAGCTATGTCTTTTATTTGGTTCCCACTTATGCCCGTTCCATGACAACTTCGTGGGAATGCTCAATCCCACATAAGGTGGGAATGGCCATTCCTAGGAAATGTGCATTCCAACTTTTAAAAACTTTTGTTTTATACATGAGAATGGGAAGTGGGAATATTTATTCCATTCCACCTCATTCCCGCATACCAAACGAAGCGTGAGAGGAGAGGAGATAAGGATACTATCAGTATTCTAAAAATATAGTGATCAGTGTTTTAAATGTCAGCCACCATGTCGCCATGACTTGACAATTTCAAAGGTGTATGTTGACATGCTGTTTTGGGTCTCAGGCCTCATGTCAGGAATATTGCGATTAAGCTTATAGATATATCAGGCGTAATTTATGGTCTGAAATTCCGCCCGATATGGACTCTGGGCAAAGTTTTTGATTTGGGCATATTTGGGCTAACGGGTTTCAAATTAGTGAACCACCCAACCCAAACCCATTCATAGAACACCTGGTCACCACTATGTCAGGAATATTGCGATTAAGCTTATAGATATATCAGGCGTAATTTATGGTCTGAAATTCCGCCCGATATGGACTCTGGGCAAAGTTTTTGATTTGGGCATATTTGGGCTAACGGGTTTCAAATTAGTGAACCACCCAACCCAAACCCATTCATAGAACACCTGTTTGGTTATGAAAACTAGATAAACTTCAAAATATTTGACTATCTGAGTAATAGGTACTTCCCAAAAATCACATGTTATTCACCTTTTTTTATGTTTAGACTATAGAATTCATAAATTAACATGATTTGAAAAAAATTACATAAGCGACGAGATGCAATGCCCAAGGGTACAGTATAGTTTAAAAGTCCTTAGATCCAATGTTAACCAATTTCTCAAGAAGGAAACTTCAGACGGCAGTCTTTGCAAACGCATGCACGGATGTGAGGGAAAAACTTGAAATAATATAGGAGTACACCAACCCTTTTTTTCCTATTGGTAAAGACTTGAGTCAGATGAAAAAAATGTTCACACAAACAAGTTCAGAATCCATGATTCTGGAGACATAGTTTGTGCTGCAGCTGCAAATTCCTGGACTTCGACTATTACACAAAATTTGTTCACCAAGTAAGAAGATGAAATCCTTTGCAACCTTTGCCAAATTCATGTTTAATTAGGTTAAAGTACTGTTCCTTAATTTGCACCAACACCATAGAACTTGTCATACTTGAGAATGAAGCTCAACCACCTGATCTGTCTAGCTATACAAGAACTAGATCTTAATCTTTGATCTGGCCCAAACCCAAGCTCCCAACCACTGTCCCGACTTAAATGAAAAGAATTCTGATCATATTTATAATAAAAATATATTCTCTCAACAATTATGCTAAAGAGAGAAAAGATAATGATGTATTGTTTAGTACGCGGGAACTGAGTGAAGTGAGTATGGAATGAAACAATGAATGGAATAGAATGGAATAAGTTTGCGAATGGGATGTTCATTCCTATTCTCACGTTTGGGTGCAATTAGAGGCTAAAGTGGGAATAGGCATATCTGGAAGCTATGTCTTTTATTTGGTTCCCACTTATGCCCGTTCCATGACAACTTCGTGGGAATGCTCAATCCCACATAAGGTGGGAATGGCCATTCCTAGGAAATGTGCATTCCAACTTTTAAAAACTTTTGTTTTATACATGAGAATGGGAAGTGGGAATATTTATTCCATTCCACCTCATTCCCGCATACCAAACGAAGCGTGAGAGGAGAGGAGATAAGGATACTATCAGTATTCTAAAAATATAGTGATCAGTGTTTTAAATGTCAGCCACCATGTCGCCATGACTTGACAATTTCAAAGGTGTATGTTGACATGCTGTTTTGGGTCTCAGGCCTCATGTCAGGAATATTGCGATTAAGCTTATAGATATATCAGGCGTAATTTATGGTCTGAAATTCCGCCCGATATGGACTCTGGGCAAAGTTTTTGATTTGGGCATATTTGGGCTAACGGGTTTCAAATTAGTGAACCACCCAACCCAAACCCATTCATAGAACACCTGGTCACCACTA